TCTCCTATGACTTTCCCCTGTGCATATTCAGATTTTCCTTCTGAGCAATATACATTAGAAGCAAACTAAACCTAGAGTGCCATACAAAGGGACCAATATTACCAGGTTAATTTTGAGAGATAAATTAATTTTCTATTTTAATATCAAACTGACTCTTCTACATACTCTAGCCAGCTCCACGTTATCATCTGCTCGTCATTCTCCTCCGTCATAGCTGCATTTCTGGACCTTACTTAGGTTTTTGATATGCCAAAAGGTGATGCACAGGGAGGTTAAGGGCAGAGGACCAGGAGGGCTTAGTCCAGAACCACAGTATGCAACAAGCTGGGTTTTTTTCCCACCCTGACCTCCACAAAAGCTGGTTTCATTCACACTTTCCAAATATCAAACTAGAGAGGAAAACTGGCTGAAATCATTTAACCCAATGCACTATCATCGATTGCAGGCAATTTTTTGTTGTCTTACCAGGTAATCCCTAGATTAGAACTCCAATCTTGCGTAGAACAGTTCAGAGCGGTGTTTCTCAATCTTAGCAACCTTAAGATATGTGGATAGCCAGAACTCCCCAGTCAGCATGGGTCTTCTGGAAGTTGACGTCCACATTTCTTAAAAGTTGCTGAAGCTGAGAAACACTGCTCTATAATGACCCTGTTGAGTTAGTAATGATAAGGACAGTAGTCCCTGGACTAGAGGACAGAGGTTGGGAAGGCTGGCCTAGATGACTGACCTGAATTCACATCTGCATCTGAATGAGCTTTCTATCCTAAGTCCTCTCTGGCTACCCATTGCATTATCAACGGCCTATGAGTGAGCATAATTATGAATAGGAAGCTGAACTTGGAATGAAGGAGGTGGCTTCATGTTACATGCCTGCTATGGCTTGGTCTAAGCCAGCCACCGTCACTTGACTTCCCCTTCCCCTACAGTAGACAGGAGTGACAATACTGGGCAGGGAAATTTTAAAGAAGCTGATAAAAGCATTTTGCACAAAGCCCAATGCAAAACATTGCACAGAAATAGTGATCTGTTGAATCAGAAACTAAAAACAGGAACATATCCCACCATCTGCTTCTAATTATGAATCCTGTGGAGTACATAAGGAGCTGCCTTTGCTCAGGCCAAACTCTTTGTCCATCTTGCTCAGCACCATCTTTCTTACTGGAAACAACTCATCAAAGTTTCAGATGGAAAGGAGCTTTTTTTTTTTTAATCATTTTACCCAAAGCTGAACCAAGCTCTTTGCATGGGAAACCTGTAATCACATGTCAGTCTGTCAATCTGCTATCCTTCTAGCCATGGGTTTATTACATCACACTCGAGGGCTCTGCCATTTGCTAGTGACAGAAGCATTTAGCAAAAAGCACACTGGATTTTTCTCTCTAGAAGTCCCCCCAGTTTATGCAAATTTAGCCATCTGCCCTCCTCTTGAAAAGATGTGCATCCCAAGTAAATTACAAATAGCTCCTTAAAATGAGGGCCTCCGAGACCTTATTTGAAAAGGCCACAGGGAAAACATAAAACAAGCATTAGGGTTTGGTTTAATGCAAAGGATCATGTAGTCCATAGAGTGGAACGCGTAGCCTTCCACAGTTCCTTGGATTCTATCTCTTCCAATTATCCTGGAGAACACAAAGTTTGGATATAATAAGGGCTTCAATAGAAGAAAATATCTGTAGCTCAGAGTTGAACTGTGACATCCTTGGTGGTTTATGATCTTGGTTGTTTGCTTGTAGATGTTTCATTACTTAGGTAATATCATGAGTGCTAATCAGTGTGCTAGTGCTAGTGATTAGCACTGTGACCATTACTAATCAAAAGCACTGATGATGTTACTGAGTCAGGTAATGAAACGTCTGAAAGCAAACAGCCAAGCTCAGAGAACACCTAGGATGCCACAATAGGGACTACAGTGCAAACACAGCTGTTGAACCACCAACTTCCTCACTTTAGTAGTCCATCCTGTTTCAAAAGTTATGTCAGCCTTACGTCTCTGGAAAGAGGCAAGCGTGGTTAAAGCCAGCAGCCTTTCCTTTTTTGCATGCATTTGGGGATTAGACTGACTTTGAATGTGGGGATTCCGTTGGGCAGCCTGGGATAGAGCTGCCCATTTCTATGAATTGGCCTAATCATTGTTTTGCATGACAGTGCTGGCCAACTATCAGCTATTGCCCCATCCAGGGACAGTGAACTGCACAAATCAGTTCTCATGCTCTGAGCTAAGGGGACAATCAATTTCATTGGGTGAGCTTATTTTAAAATATTGCAGGATACTCTGTGATGAGATGATGGGAGGATTCAGGAAGGATAGCAATGTGCCAGTTATCATTTTAGGAATAATTACCATGCCTTTTTTTTTAAACAAAAACAAAGCAACAAAACAAAAGGAAAAACAAAACATCAAAACATTGTCCACAAATAAGAGTCACAACAATGTCTATCAACTAGGTGTCTATCAACTACGGGTCTCCATCGCAGGGGATTTTATTATACCACACCCATTGAGGAAATGCCAAATTGCTTCAAAACAAAAGTCAAGTGTTGTAGCTTTCTACATTATCTTTAAACAAACTGCACTGTAATTCTGTCAAGAGCCTTAGGGCAAAATAGTTGATTAAATGCAGAGAATTCCACACAATCCTATTAACATGAAAGGAACCGGTGGGTGTGGCAGCCTCTGTTACAGCACCAAATCGAGAGAAATAGAGGTAAGTTCTGCAGTGTGAAAACTTGCCCAATTTGATCCCAAATCACTCCACAAAAGCAGCTGGGGAAAGAGGATGATTTTGTGTCTGGACTGCAATTTTATGCTATTTTTAAAATTAGGGGCTGCTTTGGCTGTTGGCCAGGAGAAGCTACTACAGATGCTGTTTTCTTAAGATAACAGGAAGCTTGCAGGCTGATAACTGCTCACAAGAGAGAGCAGGGGATTTGATGTCACTGCAGAAATCACTTAAATATATTGTGGGAGGGAGGAGGAATTACAAATGATTCCCCTTATGGACAAGAAACAACAGGTACCTTGTGCAGTGGTTACTGATAGGGCCAGATGCTCAACACCATTAACTTTTATGAGTTACCATAATGCATGATTAATGTGAGAAAAGCTAAGAGTGGAGAGAGGACACAGAGATTATTTCATAAAAAATAAATGGATTTGTAAATTGTTTTTTCTCTTTGCAGTTTATTTCTCAGAGTTGCTGCCTTGCAAATTAGATTTCACACCACTCCACCCTCCCTGAACTCAGTGGGACATTTCTAAGCAGATATTGCACTGCAAATTTGGGCTCCTGAGTTTCAACATCAGAAAAAAAGAGAAAAAAAAATGCTTATTTTGCTATATGGTTACTTCCGACTCTTCTGTCAACAAACCATGTTCGTTTTTAAGAAATCAGAATTAAAAACAGTTTCACATTTGGTCCATGTCATGTCTCCTTCTTCTAAAAATGCTTTTTAAAAAAGAAGGTGCCCACAAGAAAAAAAATGAGACATTTGCATTGTTCAGTGCTATTTTGAAAAATAAAGGGGGTTTAGGGGGAAAATATGTTGAGAAGCTAATCTCCGGCTTTTAAAACAAATGAAATAAAAGCAGGAAAGAAGCTAATTTCCATTCCACAAAGATTAACAAGTGGGTTTTCTAAATTCAGCCTTTGTTCTCCCAGTCTGAAATTTCTTTCATGACCTTTTGTTAATAGTTTCACCCCTAAGCCTTATTTCCACAATTTCAGAATTCAGCAAAGATGCACCCATGCCTGCTTTATGAATGGAAAAGAATAAAGAGGGAACACGGATCCATTTGCTTTCAAGAGAAACCCAGCCAGGCTGCTTAATTCATTCTACACATCCACTTTAAAAACCTACTACCTACCCACTGGTCCAGAAATAAATACAAAGCCTTCTTTCCTCACACCCATTTGGTTATTTTACACTTCCAACATGATGTGATCAAACAAAATAAGGTTTTCTCACCCTGGTGGATTTCCTATCCATCCCAGCTCTCCCAATATCCACCCAATATCTCAGCAGCAACCAAAATCCCCAGAAGGTGGAGAAATATTTGCCAATGATGGAGCCAATTGACAATTTTTTCATCTTTCCACCACCCGTTTTGCCCCCCAGCCGGCTTCTCTAGGGAGAGAAGCAAAAGTAAGTTTTAACAGGCAATATACCAAGCACGAGACATTTTTAAGGGTGGGTGGAATTTCTCTTTCCCCCATCCTAGTAAATATATCTGAATCTGAATCAAATCTCTCCATCTACACACACACACACACACACACACACACACCATCATCATCATCATCATCAGTCTTATTATTATTGTTATTGCTGTTATATAACATGCCTGATCTGAACAAAGGGGGCTGCAGAGAACAAATGCATAAGAGAAATAGAAAAAAAAATCAGTCCTCCTCCCCTCCCCCACCCATCTCGAGCGCAATGGACTGGGTTGCATTCACGCCTATTTCGAATCAGCCCGAACAACCGGACAATGCAAACCTGGGGTGGCACTAAATACATTTTAATGCAGCTACAGCAGAAAGCGATTTGCAAGGAGTTGCCACTCACTCCCATTCATACACGCTTGTATGCGAGCCAGAGAGACACGGCGCGCAACGCTTGGGGTGAGTGCAAAGCATTCATCCATTTGTCTCGCGATTGCTCTGGCTGGGGTGGAGGCTCATCCGTCAAGCCTCCTAAGCCCGGGCACCGGTTGGTCCTCGTTTCCCAATTCCCGGGTTGCAACATCTCGGTCTTTCCCCCTCGCGTGGCGATTTGCCAGCCAGCGATCCGACGCCAAGCCGAATCTGCCCTCCATCCCTGCTTCTTTCCCGCACCTCCGACTTTTCGCCCGGACTCATCGGGCGGAAAAGCAAGAAGCCGGGATGGGCGGAACGCAGAAGCGGCGCGTCGGAGCTCCGCGTTGGAGCAGCCGAGGCAAAGACGCACCGCGTGGGAGAAGGCTACATCTGCGCTTTCTCCCCGGGGCTTCGCTCATCTACCTGGCGGAGAGGCGATTCCTGAAGCCGTCCGCGCAGGGCAGGCGAGAAAAAAAAATCCTTCCCTCCGAGGCTTCGGCGCCTGGATGCAGATGCGAGATGTGGAAAAAAGGCGAACTCCTCCGGGTGCGGCGCTTAGGAGCAACAGCTGATGGTCAAGAAGCGGAGGAGCGAGCTAGCCAAAGAGCAAGCAGCGCCTTAGCCTGCAAATAAAGTCCCACCCAGTCTTGTGTGTGATATCAGCTCCTCGTTGTACAGGAAACGGAACATCCACCACTTCCTCCTCTAGCTACTGGAGATGGTTTTGGTTCTTAGCTCGCAGCCCCCGAGGTTGCCCAACTTGTCTGCAAGTCTTTCCCCCCCCCCGAATCTTTTGCTTCTTAAAAGAGGGCAGAAGGGGTCCCCTGCCCCCTCGTTTCATTTTTTTGAGCAACATTAACATCTTTCTACAGTTCTTATCTTGAGCCAAGCTCTTAGCAGCACCAGAACATTACAGCTTTGAGGGTATGTGGTGGCAAGTGACATTTCTCCAGGCATCCATCACCACACACACAAGTTTAGAAATCTTAATAACCTTTATCCCACCCACCCTTCAGAAAGCAGGCCATGCCCATCTCTTCTATTGCTGCTGATCTAGGAGGAAAGTGATACCACAGACTAATTGTAAATTGAAATAGCACTGCTTGCAACCAGTTATGTCAACTCAGGAATACGTGACACAAACCACCAGCTTATTTATTTGATGCCTATAGTTGCCCGTCTCACACAGGTGACTATGCAGAATAGAATAGAAAGAACAGATTAGAATAGAATAGTTTATTGGCCAAGTGTGATTGGACACACAAGCATAAGCTCTCAGTGTACATATGGTACAAACAATGAAGTAATATAATCATAAGATACCAATAGGAGAAGGTAGTAGAAAAAATGAGAAGGATAATACAGCCATACCACATGGGTAAACATCCTCAGATATAAGTACTGTGGTAGTTAGGTGTTCAGCAGAGCGATGGCACAAGGGAAAAAAACTAGTTGTGTCTAGTTGTTTTGGCATGCAATGCCCTATAGCAGCATCCTGAGGAGAGGAATTGAAACAGTTTATGTCCAGGATATGAAGTGGGTTGTAGGTATTTTCTCAGTCCACTTTCTGACCCGTGCAGTATATAGGTCAGTGATGGCGAACCTTTTAGAGACCGAGTGCCCAAACCGCAACCTAAACCCCACTTATTTATTGCAAAGTGCCAGGACCACGTCAGCATTGTGGTGCCCTCAGGAGGGGGCAGGGAGGTGCCTCTGAGTGCCGTCTCTGGCACGCAAAAAGTGGGGGCGCAAAAATGGGCCACTGGCTGCAAGGCGCAAAAACGGCTGTCACCACACTGCAGAGTGCAGATACGAGGCTCTGCACCACTTAAGAACGGGACAGGGCTAGTGAGTATCACGCAGGCACTAGCTGCGTCCCATTTGCAGCATGTGTGTGCTCGTAGCTCCATGTGCACATGCATGCATGTAAAATGCTTCCCCCCTCCCTTTCCTTCCAGTCCACCAATCGATAATGGTTGGTGACCTCTGCTCTACCACCTCTACTAGAGCTTGCTAGTCGGCCACTTTGCCTCCTATGTGCAGAGTGGGGGTCCTGCTCCGGGTGGTGGTGGTGGACTGATGGACCTGCTCCTGGTAGTGGTGGCGCATGTGTCAACAGAGAAGGCTCTGAGTACCACCTCTGGCACACGTGCCATAGGTTCGCCACCACTGATACAGGTCTTCAATGGAAGGCAGGCTGGTTGCACTTGTTTTTTCTGCAGTCCTAATGATCTGTTGAAGTCAGTACCTGATTGCTGTGCCAAACTAGACAGTTATGGAAGTTCAAATGACAGACTCAATAATTCTTCTGTAGAACTGTATCAATAACTCCCGGGGCAGTCTAAACTTTCTGAGTTGATGCAGGAAGAACATTCTTTGATATGTCTTTTTAATGATGGCTCTAATATTAGGTATCCATCTCAAATTCTGGGATATTATAAAACCCAGAAACTTGGAGGTCTCTACTGTTGATCCGGTGTTGTCTAACATTGTAAAAGATGGTAGAATAAGAGGGCTCCTCCTAAAATTCAGAATTGGAATCCCAAAATTGGAAGGGAGCTCCTAGGTAATCAAGCTCAACTTCACAGATTAGGAAACAAAATTAAAGGACCCCAGACAGGCCGGCCTCATTCCCCTGCTTGAAAACATCTGCTGAAGGGAATGCCTCTGCTTTTCACAGTTATTGGTTTCATGTCAACTGCTGGTTATTGTCAATCATTTGTTTCCAACATTCAACACACATACTTTCATGTAATTTAAATACATTATCCCATGACATGCCCTTTGAAAATTGTGCGCACCTTTGTCTTCTGGGTGACATCCTTCCATTTATTCTTACTCTGCTACAGGAAGAGTGGTTGCCTATTTGCTTCTGGATGCAATCTAAGAAGCTGGTTACCACCTTTAAAGCCTTACATGAAGGACCATCTCTCCCCATTAATCGACCTGGCTCTCCCCATTAATCGACCTGGTTGTGGGTCCTATCTATTAATGAAGTACACCTGATGGGATCTAGAAAAAGGGCCTTCTCTGTAGTGGCTCCTTCATTTTGGAACATAATTCCCTTGGAAATGAAGTTTCCCCCTCCTTGTTACTTTTCTGGAAGGTTTTGTCAATGGGCCTAGAGATTGATTTGAAGATGATCAAGTGGCTTATATAATTGTGTTCCTCGGTGGCATTGGGGATGGAGTTTCTGGGGCTTTTAATATAGCTGATTTTTAATGCTGTATGCCACTCAGGCTCAGTGTTTGTGAACTGGGCAGCCAGTGAAGCTCCTGCAGAAGAGTAAGAATAAATGGAAGGATGTCACACAGAAGATGAAGGTATGCACAATTATCTTTTCAAAGTATGAATACATAAATATTTGAAGAACGTTAGTATTTTTCTTACATCTTCCTTTCTCAAGTTCATTTCACTCTGTATAATCTTTGGGACTATTTCAGGTGAAGAGAAATATAGAGAAAAAAAGCTAAACAGAACCAGGATAGTTAGATCATTTTAGACTCAGGTGTGCATTTGCGAATTTATGTTGCTATGCTTACTATATATAGCTTTACTTTTCTTCAAAGTGAATGGAATTCTTCAAAATGTATGGTCTGCTGTCTTTGAGAAGCCCAGCTGCACATTCAATCTTTATCATGGAGGCTATGAGTTTCTCCCTAACATCTGATCCTTATCTTTATCTTTGTAAAACATATATAGATAATCCTCAATTTATGATCACATTTGGGACCAGAATTTTCATTGCTAAGCAAGAAGGTTGTTAAGGGACATATGTCCTATTCTACAGCCTGTTTTTGCCATAGTTGTTAAACAAATCACTGTAATTGTTAAGTGCAGAAATGTGCTTATTAAATGAATCTGGCTCCCCCCCCCAATTGACTTTGCTTGTCAGAAGCTAGCTGGGAAGATTGCAAATAGCAATCACATGACCCCTACAACATTACAACTCTTATAAATGTATGCCAGTTGCCCAGCACCCCAAATTTTGGTCCTGTGACTTTGGAGACACTGCAATGGTTTTTAATCACTTTTTTCAGTCCTGTTGTAACTTTGAACGGTCGCTAAATGAATGGTTATAGATTGAGGACTACCTACAGGGTTCATTATCAGATGAAATAAATACTTGAAATTGTGTATGCCCAAAGCAAAAATAAAAAGTGAAACTAATACTTCCTATAATTTGGAAAGTATATTTGCCTCTCTCTTTTTTTTTGCAGCACCACATATGGTTGATCTATATTCAGTTTGCAATTTTTGAAGTCATGTTCACAGGTACCATTATCAAGCTAGTTAATTTAACTCAGCTAAATTTTGATTCTATAATTCAGTTTGGTTATTTTAAACCCGTTTCTCTAATTCATCAAAATTGTTCTGAATTTTATTTCTGTTTATTGAGATATTAGGTACCCCACTCAGTTTTGTGTTAGGTGTAAATTTTAAAAGTATCCAATCTACCTTTTCATTTAAGACATAAAACCTGAATGGTAGTGAGCCCAGAAAAGAATCTTATAGTACCTAAATTGTTATTTGACTCCAATTTGAAAAGAAACTATTTATAACCGCTCTTTTAGTAATCTGAGCCATTGTATGTCAATTTGTCATGACGTTCATCTCACACTGAACTAGCTTGTTAAGCATAATGCCATGGATTAGCTTTATAGCTGAATACTAATATCAAGGTATTTTATACCTCAAGCATCTGACCAAGCTGAGGTAAAATTGGGGCTTTTCTACCCATGTGCTGCTAACTAGTTCAGGAGTCTGCAGAAATAGGAAATGCTAATTATATTTCCACTTCTACTCTGTCTGAGCATCAAAGAGACTAGGGCAGTGATGGCGAACCCTTTAGAGTGCCCAAACTGCAACCCAAAATCCACTTATGCATCGTCAGGTGCCGGGTGGATGTGTCCCATTGGGTGGGCGTGGCTGTGGTGGTAACAGCAAACTGGGTGGGACTAAAATGTTCAATCAATCAATTCCAACTTTGCAAGAACTTTTTTTTCCCCGCAAAATGTTGAAATTGACTGATTGATTGAACCCTTTTTTTTTGCACACGGTGGCGGAGGCCTAAAGCGAAAAGGTTTTATAAAACCCAGTTGAAGGCCTAGGAGTGGGGCGACGGCGTGCATGCCCACAGAGAGGGCTCTGAGTGCCGCCTCTGGCACCCATGCCATAGGTTCGCTACCACTGGACTAGGGGTTCTATCCACACTGAAAGCACTGGGAGAAAAGAATGGGATGGGAAATGCCACCTTTGGTGCCAGTTTCTGACAGCAGTAGACCTACTTATCTACTGTGTGTCAGGTCACTGATTTCCATGGGCTCCCATTCTCCCACCTTCTCTTGCCATCCTTGTATGTGCTATGTGCTTAGAGCTTAAAGCATTGTTAGAGACCCCAGACAACTATTTTATGGTTTGTTTCTGTTGCTCCCCTCTGGGAAGAGGTTTCAAAGTATTTCTAGTAGGACTACCCGATTCTGTAATAGCTTTGTTCCCTATGCCATCCCTCTGATAACCTCACAAGGTTCGTTTTTCTCAACATGCACATAACCCAAACTAGACTGTTGTTTGTCATATAATATATGTGGGTATATGCATAATTCCATATTTATTTATTTTTGTCATATTTATGTAGTGTATATC